GCTGATCTCACTTTTTGACCTTCTGGAGTCTTGCTGTTCACTTCAGCAATCCACATCCAGGGTGACAGCCAGGATCTTCTATCCAGGAATGGCTTCTTCTTGGAGTTGGACAAGCCAGCCTACTGTTTGACACTTGCCTCATGTCCTTCCAACTTCCTGACACCCTCCCAACCTCTCTCCAATGCCATTGAATGGTTGATGTAATACGGACCGTCTCCCCACACATCAACTGTTTCTGCACCATAATGCTCCCCCGTGTGATGTCTCCAATTGCTGCACAGGTTCAAACCCTATGGATTCCTTGGAGTCCATCTCAAATTTCACTTTTCTGGCATTTGCCACTATTTACCAGTCGGCTTTTTTACAAATATTTGTTTACTTGATTTACAGAAAGGAGAGACAGAAGGAAAGATCTTCCATCTGCTGCTTCATTCCCCATTTGGCGGCAACAGCTGGAGCTCAGCCAATCCAAAGCCAGGAGACAGGAGCTTTTTTTTTTGGTCTCCAACACAGGTTCAGGATCCCAAGGCGGGGAGTTGGATAGGGAGCAGAGCAAGTTCCCAAAGCGATCCGGGCGCTTGTAAGGGGAGGATTAGCCAATTGAACCATTGTGCTGGGCCCGGTCTTTTCTTTTTTTTTTTTTTAAAGAGTTATTTATTTTTATTGGAAAGGCAGATATACAGGGAGGAGGAAAAACAAAGATCTTTCATTTGCTAATTCACCCTTCATTGGCCACAATGGCTGGCGCTCAGCTGATCCAAAGGCAGCAGTCAGGATCTTCTGGATCTCCCAGATGGGTGCAGGGTCCCAAAGGCCATTCTCTACTGCTTTCCCAGGCCACAAGCAAGGAACTGGATGGGAAGTGGAGCAGCCGGGATACAATTCAATGCCTATATGATGAGATCCCAGTGCATGCAAGCAAAAATTCAGCATGGGCCGGTCTTTTCTTAAAGCTTGATTTGACCAAGACTTTCTACTTCCTGTCTCCATGTCTTCTGTCCATCAGAAATATTGCTCAGAGACGCTTCCACTGTCCGTTACCTTCTTTCTTCTTCACGGTCTGCTAAATCAAAGATTCATTTAGAACAACTCCCCAATTATCAGACTTTACTCCTGCAGTCTAGAATCCTACATCCAATAGCCTGCTAGAAATTTCTACCCAGAAGTCCCCCAAATATGTCAAAAACAACATGATCCTACACACTTATTAGAACGGCTACTATAAAAAATAAATGAATAAAACCAAAAACTGTCAAATGTTGGTAAGGTTATAGAAAAATTGGGATTCTTGTGTATTATTTGTGGGGATATTAATCAGTCCATCCTCTATGGAAACTAGACCTTTTCTAGAATTACCAAATGATCAAGTAGTTACATATACACAATAATTTATTGTATTTATGTATTTTTAAAGATTTATTTATTCATATTGGAAAGTCAGGCATACAGAGAGGAGGAGAGAAAAAGATCTTCCATCTGCTCATCCACTCCCATTGTGGTCGCAGTGGCTGGACCTGAGCCACTCTAAAGCCAGGAACCAAGAGCTTCATTCCAGGTCTGCCACATGGATGCAGGGTCCCAAGGCTTTGGGCTGTCCTTGACTGTTTTCCCAGGGCGCAAGCAGGGAGCTTGATGGGAAGTGGAGCTGCCAGGATTAGAACTGGTGCCCATATGGGATCCCGGCGCGTGCAAGGTGAGGACTTTAGCTACTATACCAGGGTACCATGCACTTTCTGTTTTAAATAAATTGGTTAAAAATGTTAAAGGTATTTTCCAACTATATTCAGGGCAGTGTGAGTCATAGCTATCAAAAGCAGTCCAAATGTACATCGACAGACGAATGTACACAGAAAGTGGCACACACACCATCACGTATTACTCAGCCTTAAATAAGATGGAGAGTCTTACAGGTGCTGCAATAAAAAATGAACCTGGAGGATGTTCTGCCAGGTAAAATGTCACTCACAGTGGAAAATATCAGGTGGTTCCACTTCTAGAGCCATCTGCTCGTCGAGACAGGGAGCAGGAGGCAGGTTACTAGCGGTGGGGAAAGGAGGTGAGGGGGTAGTTCTTTTATATACATTTTTAAATTTTAGGTGATGTTCACATAGTCGATCAGGGTGGGAAATATTGAGGGTTAGGGAAAAGTGGGTGTGATCATTGTTTCCAAATTGTATATTTCTTCCTGTTTCTGGAGGAAGTGGGGAGTTAAGAGGAGAAGCCATGCCCAGCCTCCCAGTACCCGGATGGGGATGGGGAATGGCCACCCGACATCAACCCGGGGTCCCAAGGTGGTGCATGCGCCGAAGGTTCTGCCCAGGTGGTTTCGATAGTTCTGAAATGCTCTCGGCCTCACCTATCCAAGGATGAGGAAACCTTCCAGTGTCCACTGGCTGATACAGTCGACCTCAGAGTGTCCGTTTGCCCAGGTTTCTGCTGTCACCATTTGGCTGGGACAGTTGTTCAGTTTGTTCTGTTTTCCTTCCTCTGCTTTGGTAGCAGATGTTCTCTGCAGGCCCCAATGGGCTGCCATATTTGCAGCGTGCATCAGGGCCTGCCGTCCACTGCTCTGTCTCCTATGTGGGCCTAAGGACCCAGGCCAGGTGATCTGGGCCTTGTAAGACCCCTAGTACCCAGGGCTCACTGACCCAGCACCCACCGTGCAGGCCGACCCAAGGGCCAGGACCAGGACCAGGTGACCTGGGCCCCACTGGACTCAATGGGGGAGTTTTTAGTGCAGAGTGGCTGCTTTACAAGTTGGAAAGGTTTGGGGTCAGATACACAACAGCCTGATGTACTGACTGCACTCAGCCACACACCTTAGCAGCGGTTAGCACGGTGTGTGTGTACACAGAAAAATACGCGCCAGTTGAATTTAGTTCATTTATTCACCAATCTGCTGCTCCGCTGGCTTTCCAAACCTCAGCTGACTGTCACTTATCACTTCTCCAGACAGAAACCTGGGCTTTTATCCAAAACCCCTTTCCTTCTTAAACGATTTATTTTATTAGGAAGACAGAGTTACGGAGAAACAATCTTCCACCTGGTGGCTCACTCCCCACATGACAGCAATGACCACAGCTGGGCTCATCTGAAGGCAGGAGCCAGAAGCTTGTGCTGGGCCGCTGACACAGGTGCAGGCTTTGAGCCATCCTCTGCTGCTCTCCCAGGCGCTATCAGCAATGCAGCAGCCAGGACTCAAACTGGCGCCCCTGTGGGTGTCAGCGCCACAGTCGTGTTGCTGTAAAGAACTTCCACCTCCAGTCGCAGCTGCTGCTACTTCTCAACTGCTGTCTGTGTCCTGAATCTCATTCTGCTTCACAGTACTTTCTCATAGGAAAAAAAAAATTCTTTGAGATGCAGCTGCAAACATTTCCACACGTGAAATCGTGTTGCAGTCAATGGAGAATGGAAGCCACGCCTTCATCTAGCCTCCAGGGCCTCTCCTCACCCCCCCCCCCAGGGCCTCTCCTCCCCCCTCTCCTCACCTGCACCCTCCAGGGCTTCTCCTCACCCCCCACCCTGCAGGGCCTCTCCTCACCCCTCTCCTCACCTGCACCCTCCAGGGCCTCTCCTCACCCCCCCCCACCCTGCAGGGCCTCTCCTTCCCCTCCTCCTCACCCACACCCTGCAGCTGCAGTGACTGCTTGTAGCTGTAGTTTCATGCAGCTGTGTGCCTCCGCTGCTCTGTTCCCGCAGCAGGATGGCCGGAAGGGCTCCTCCTCATCCTGCCCACCTGGGGAGCAGCTGGTTTTCTTTGAAAGACGCTTTAAGTTTGGGTCTTATACCATCTTCTGACCACTTCCCTCTTTCGTTCATTCAGATTTTATTTTCCATTCTTTGCTATGCCTAGATATTCTCTATCGTGTCGTTTTTTTTATTGCACTTCTCGGTTTTACATGTGTGCGTTCTTCTATTTCAGTATAATTATTTTGGAGTCAGGATTGTGGCTTATTTCCTTTTATGTCCTCAAGGCCCTGCCTGGAATACTGTGCACGTTTATTCAAAGTTGGTCACACACATTTATTATTTTGATATAAATCGAATACTTGTTACATTTAACACTTGTTACGTTCTGACTGTTGGGGATACAAAGCCTTTCCCGCACAGACGGTAAAACCCACTCCAGGGGTGAGGGTGGGGGTGGGTCACTTGCAGTGCATTAAGCCTCTACCTGGGACGTTCGTATCCCACAAGCTGCTCTAGTTCCGGCCCAGCTGACGCACCTGCGCAAACAGCTGGAATCCTTGGACGCTGCTACCCACGTCAGAGACGGGGATGCAGTCCTGAGCTCCTGCCACTCGCCTCAACCAGCCCCAGCCATTTGAAGAGCAAGCGCAAGAATGCAAGATCGCTCTCCCACCCTCTCTCCGTAACTGTTCACATCAATACGATACATGTTTAAAAGAAAAGCTTACCCTAAGACAGGGCAAGCACTGGGCAAGGCTTCCTGCCGAGGGCCGCATGCTGTGGAGAGCAGAGCAGGAAGGCAGTGGAGGCAGGAGTCGGAAAACCCCGGTGGGAAGTGCAGTGATGGTTTTGGAGGCGCAGGACCTTAGCAGGTGTAAATGGCTTTCGGATGAGGCCATGCATGCCGACCACTGCACTGCTGGAGTTTAGCTTGGTGATTATACTCAGTCAACACTTCCTGCAGACTGTGTTCGCAGTTGGAGCCCGGGAAACGGGGCGTCACTCAGCGGGTACGCAGTGTTGCAGACTTTGAGGGACACGGTTCCATCCCAGGAAGAATTCAAGCTTCTACTAGCCATTGTTCTCGATGAGGTCTCATTACCGACTGCGGCTCACCTGAGCCTCATCTTCTAGAGGCCGGCATCCACGAAGCCACGCCCACCTGTGCTTCCGCGCGCATTCCCCTCCCTCGCCAGCCAACCAGCTTTCTTCGCGTCATCCAGGCGCGCCGCGCAGGCGGGTCCCGCGCAGGACCACGTGTACCGTGTTGATGGTCAGCGTCCGGCAGTCCGCTAACCGGAAGCAGTGACTTGAGAGGAAAGTTTCCCCACCTGTGGTCCCCGAGTCGGCTTCGCCCCGAGGATGAGTGCCCCGGGCGTGCTGTCCTTCACCCAGCAGGGCTGGGAGCAGGTGCTGGCCAAGGTGAAACGGGCCGTGGTCTACCTGGACGCCGCCTGCGCCGAGAGCCTGCATTGGGGCTGCGGCCCCTCGCGGCTGCTGGACGCCGTGGGCGCTCCCGCGTGCCACCTGCGGGAGTTCGGGAGCCACGCGGCCGGCGGCGGCGTCCAGCAGCCCAAGGCGGTGTTCGTGCTGAGCTGCCTGCTCAAGGGCCGGACCGTGGAGACGCTGCGAGACATCGTGCGCCGCAGCCACTTCCAGTACTGTGTGGTGGTCACGGCCGTGAGCCACGCCGTCCACCTCACGGCCAACCACGTGCCGGCCGCGGCGGCCGCCGAGCTGGAAGGGCAACAGCCCGTGTTCGAGCAGTTGGAGGAGAAGCTGTGCGAGTGGATGGGCAGCATGAACTACACGGCCGAGGTGCTGCACGCGCCGCTGCTGCTGGCCCCTGTCGCGGCGCACCTGGCCTGCACGCCGGCCTTCGCGTCTCTGTTCCCGCTGCTGCCGCGGGACGTGCGTCTCCTCCACGGTGGCCGAGCGGACAAGAGGAGGCTGGGCAGCCTGGCCGAGCTGGACGCCACCGCCCTGCCGGCCGAGCTGCAGCTGCAGATCAGGTGCCTGGTGTCCGGCCTCAGCTCGCTGTGTGAGCACCTGGGAGTCCGCGAGGAGTGCTTTGCCGTGGGCAGCATCAGCCGAATCATTGCTGCCGATCTGGCCAATTTTGTCCCTGCCAAGAACAGGAGGAAGACTGCCCCGGGCAGGGCGTCCGTGGTCTTTGTGGACAGAACGCTGGATCTCACAGGTAGGGCCCAGGGAGATTGCTGGGGAGGGCCAGCGCGCGAGCGACCTGGGTGCGTGTTGTTCAGTGAGTGACGTGGAGTTGTGTCTTCAGGGTGTAATGTTTTGTTAAGCAACTACTGACGCTAGCCCCACAGATTGCAAAGACAGAATTATTCTGACACGGAGGAAGTTGTTTACGAACTTTTTTTTGCAAAGGACTTGGAGTTGTGCAGGATTAAAACATTTTTTTAAATTGCTTTATAGATTGATTTATGTGAAAGGCAGAGGTAGATCTTGCAGTGACTGGGTTAGGCTGTCAGGGCTGAGCAGGCTGGAGCCAGGACCCTGCAGCCCCGTGCTAGTCTCCCATGCAGGTGGCAGGGCCCACGCACCTCGATGTGGGCTGTGGGCTGGACACGCTGAGCCCTGACACGGCTGTTGGCAGGGCAGGTGATCGCAGAGACACTGGGGGGAAGACTCCTGAACGGCCGAACGTGAACCTCTCTGAGACAGTGGAGGCCTGTTCCTTTACGTGAATGAGAACAGAAGTGTAGAAAAGCTCTTCAGTGCTTATCCATTTATTTAGAGATCTCGATTTGAAAATTGGGTAGGTCATCTCAAGTCATGAAGATATAATAATGGTGTAAACAGGGCTGTAGCCCTGCAGCAGGTGTGGTTAAAAACACTGGCTGGGACCTGACATGTGCGGTTGATTTTAAGGTTCTGTATTGAGGTGGGTACAGTCCTGTTGGTAGTAATGGCTGTCCACAGCCAAGTTCAAGGAGAAAGGTCAGGAAAGTGGCTTTCGTAAGCACATTTTTCAGTAGATCAGAGAAAAGGTTGAATGAAATTATAAAAAGCTTAGTAGGTGGATTCAGTTTTGTGGTTTTCAATTTTTTTTTAATTCAGTGAAATTAATTTATGGTCATAAAAGAGAAGGTAATCTAAAAGATAATACCAAAACGTAAACTTTGAATATACCTGGAAACCCAGGTGTCCAATCAGTAATTGATTTAAACCTAAGTAATAATTGTGGAATAGAACTACTGGGGAACTGAAAAAAAACTGGTGAGTGTAGGCAGTCCCCACGGCTGGAATACAATCTTTTTTTTTTTCCTTGATATATTTGAAAGGCAGAGTTGCAGACAAAAGGAGAGTTAGAAAAATCTTCTATCTGCTGAGTCACTCTTCAGATGGCTGCAGTGGCCGAAGCTGGGCCAGGTGAAAGCCAGGAGCTTGGTCTGGGTTTCTACGCTGTCGCAGGGACCCAGGAGCGTGGGTCATCCTCTGCCTAGCAGGGAACTGGATTGGAAGTGGAACAGCCAGGTTGAACCGATGCCCAGGTGGGATGCTGGAGCTGCAGCAGCCACTTGATCCATCATGCCACAATGCTGGCCTCAGGAATATGCTCTTTAACCTAATACTTGTTTAGCCAAATGTGTGGCGTATGATCTTATAACTGATCCAGATCTCCCACTTTGCGTTCCCCCAGGACTTGAGTTAGGGAAACCTGGCTGTGCAGCTCAGTCGCTGAGAACTTCTGAATCCTTGGTCTCCTTGGGCTGTGCACAGAGCAAGCTGGTAGTTTAGCCTCAGCTCTCTGAAAGCAGCCAGGAATCCTCAGACACGGGCCGCACAGCAAGGCGCAGTTGCCACTCAGCATCACTCCTTCCATACTTTCTCCTCAGGGCCCCAGATCTCCTTTGCCACACTGGCCTGTGATGTCTCCGAGCCCGTAAAGGTCACAGCGTGCCCGGCTCTCTGGCCTCTGCACGTGGAGATGCACGCCACTGCATTTTTGCTTCCTTCGTGTTAGAAGGGACATCCTGTGCTTGTGACTCACTCCGGCCTGCTCGCCCGTGCAGCCTGGGTCCTCTCCATTCTCTCCTGTCCGGGTGTCTGTGCCGCTCGGTCCTGTGCTCTGGTTTCCCCGTTTCAGACCCCAGGGAGCGTCTCGCGTTTTGACTCCTGATGTGTCCCCAGCTCCAGTTCTGCTGCTGCTTCATTTTCTTAGCAGATCTGGGAGGAGTCTGTGCTCTCTCTGTAGACATTTGCTCCAATTTTTCTTTGAAAAAGAGTTTTAGTTTATATTTGAGAAGTTGAGACAGAGAGCCCGTTTCTACTGGTTCGCTCCCAGATGAAAGCAACAGCCAGGGCTGGACCAGGATAGAGGGTGGGTGTCCCAAACACAGACCAGTCTCAGAAGGGCGGGCCAGGCTCCCTGCAGCCTGAGGCGTCCTGCTGTGTCCTGGGGTCTGTGTGAGCAGGAAGCAGGCTGGGGGGTTGGAGCTGGGTATTCAGCCTGGGGTTTCTGATATGGGGTCAGGATCACTGTCCCTGTCACTGGGTCCAGCACCCACCCCTCCTTTTGTCCCTGCTGGATTCCACTTCTCTTAGGCCCTTGCTTGCTGATGCTGCCAGAACATTTCTGCATCAGGGTCAGGCAGAGATTCTGTATCAAACCCATTCATATTGCTGAGCAAAAGAGCGGTTCTTGATGTCCTAAGCCATCAGGGCCGCTTACGAGGGTTGAAGAAGCATGAAAGATACGCAGGTAAGCAGGTGTTTCGGCTGGTTTTTCTCGGTTGGTGCCCTGGAAACCTAAGTCCGATCTGCTGTGTGCCAGTTCCCTGTGCTCTGATGGCTTTCCAGCACACCTGCTGAAAGTCCCGTCCCTCAGTGCTTTCGTCAAGGTCACATGGGACCTGCTCTACTCTCTCCTCCCAGTTGAGGTCCCGCTGACCTGCCCTCATGCCCTGCTCTCCAGGCCCACTGCCTGCTGGTGGGTACCATTCCCTGGCCTGGTCTGCGCTGCTCCCTGTCTTGGTTCTTTCACTCACCTGCAGGGGGACTGTGTCCTGACAGAGGAGTTCCAGGCTCCTCCATCAGAACCTCTCCCAGTACCAAATCTCTCACACGTGTCGGGAGATCCTTACTTCCAAGGCCAAAGGTTGAACTCCCTGTCTGGGTTTCTTGCTGATCTTGGTGACTGTAGGGTCTCTTCATGGCGCTGGGCAGGCCACCGGGAGCACGTGTGCTGTTCTTGTCCACTCCCTCAGTGTGTGCAGTCGGTGTGTCTGCAGGAGTGAAGGAAAAGCCAAGCTGAGCTTCAACAATGCAGCATAGAGTCTCCCTGCGACACCTGTAGAGCGCTTCTAGAAGGTCATGAGAAATAGCTAAGATGTCTGTTTTTATCACACAGAAAATCGAAATCCTTGTTCATGACAATTTTTTATTTAAAGATTTATTTATTTATTGGAAAGTCAGATATACAGAGGAGGAGAGACAGAGGAGGATCTTCCATCCGATGATTCACTCCCCAAGTGAGCGCAACGCCCGATGCCATGCTGATCCGAAGCCAGGAGCCAGGAACTTCTTCTGGGTCTCCCACATGGGTGCAGGGTTCCAAAGCTTTGGGCCATCCTCGACTGCCTTCCCAGGCAACAAGCAGAGAGCTGGATGGGAAGTGGAGCAGCCGGGATTAGAACTGGCACCCATAGGGGAATCCAGGGCGTTCAAGGTGAGGACTTTAGCCACTAGGCCACGCTGCCGGGCCTGTTCATGATAATTCTTCAGAAAGTTTATGGAAAGTGCATATTTTGTAAAAGCTGTGCATGCAGCAAAATAAACTTAGTCTAATTCTATGTTTTCATGCACTTTCTGAAGTTTCCTCATATGTACTTGACTGTCTGTGTTGATAATGTGTTTTATTGAAAAGATTTATTTATTTGAAAGACGTACAGAAGGGCAGTTAGGAATCTTTCTTTTGCTATTCTCTTGTAAGATGGCTCCAACAGACAGAGTTAGACTAGTCTGAAGTCAGGAAGCAAGAACTTAATTTGGGTCTCCTATGTGGGTGCTGGGCCTAAAGACTTGAGTCATCCTCTGCTGCCTTCCCAGGCCGGAGACAGGGAGGTGGATTGAAAGTATAGTGGCCAGGACTTGAACTGGCATGCGAAGCTGGCACTGCAGGCAGCAGTTTTATGCACTATGCCACAGTGTTGGCTCCACTGACATTTTCTTTCTTTCTTTTTTTTTTTTTTAAGAATTTATTTATTTTTATTGGAAAGACAGATATACAGAGAGGAAGAGAGACAGAGAGGACGGTCTTCTTTCCTATAATTCACTCCCTAAGCAGCCACAACGGCTGGAGCTGAGTCAATCCGAAGCCGGGAGCCAGGAGCTCCTCTGGGTCTCCCATGCAGGTGCAGGATCCCAAAGCTTTGGGCCATCTTTGACTGTTTTCCCAGGTCACAAGCAGCGAGCTGGATGGGAAGCGGGGCTGCTGGGATTAGAACTGGTGCCCATATGGGATCCTGGCGTGTTCAAGGCGAGGACCTTAGCCACGACGCTATCGCGCCTGGCACGATATTTTCTTTATTCAGCAAGTTCTTACTGAAGCTTACCGTGTGTAGTACTGTGCTGGGTGCGGGGATGGACTTGGAAGCACAGTCAACCTGCTGCTCTGTGCGACATGCAGTCCTGCCCGGGACTGAAGCCAGAAGGGACCGTTGTTGTTGAAACAGGAGGCCCGGAGCCCTTTGTCCAGCCGACGTTTCCTCCTCTGGGTTGATGTTTCCTTGCTCTGTTTCACCAGGTGCTGTGGGACATCATGGTGACAACCTGGTGGAGAAGATCATCTCTGTGCTTCCCCAGCTCCCTGGCCACACGAATGATGTGATGGTTGACATGGTGGAGCTCACGTCGCTGCACGCAGCAGGAGATGGTCAGAACGTGGTTGCGCCAGGCTGCCTTGCACAAGCCGAGTAAGCTACATGAATGTTTCTGATCTCATCTTTCTTCCACCTCCTCCTTCCTTTGCCGCTGCCGTGTCCCTGCAGAAAGGAGACGAGCAGCAGGTGTTGTTGAACCATTCTGACTGAACAGCACTTAGCAAAAGGCATTGGTTCACGATTTGGAAATGGGCAATTCCAGCACACACAGCAGTGGGTGAGAAGTATGGGCTGTGGCAGCTGTGTGGCCAGGCTGCGGTGGAAGCTCGTTCCGGGGGTCACGTGAGGTCAGCTCCTGCATCCCCGTCTCACGGATGCTGACCCACAGGGCCGCGTTGAGGCTTCTGCAGTTCCATTTCCTTGTTGACTTTGTCAAATGAGTGAAAAGCAGTTGTGTGGCCTGGGGACAGTGATGTCTCATACTAGAGAAATGAGCCCCTCATGGGTGTGTACGGGAGAAGCTTTTCTTCGGCTTTGTTTTTGAAGATGTTTTTATCTGAATGGCAGAGTTACAACAGAGAGAGAAGGAGAGTTGAGGGGAGAGATCTTCCATTGACAGTTCATTCCTCATTGGAGCTGGGTCACTCTGAATCTCGGAGCTGCTGTTGCCTTTTTAATTAATTATTTTTTTTTAAGATTTATTTATTTTCATTGGAAAGGTAGATTTACAAAGAGAAGCAAAGGCCCAGCTTGGTATTCTAGTGGTTAAAGTCTTCGCCTTGCACATGCAAGGATCCCATATGGGTGCGAGTTTTTTTTTAAGATTTATTTATTTTTATTGGAAAGGCAGATACAGAGAGGAAAAGAGACAGAGAGGAAGAACTTCCATCCAATGATTTTTTTCCCCAAGTGGCCACCATGACTGGAGCTGCAGCTATCTGAAGCCAGGAACCAGGAACTTCTTCTGGGTCTCCCACGTGGGTGCAGGGTCCCAAGGCTTTTGGGCGTCCTTGACTGCTTTCCCAGGCCACAAGCAGGGAGCTGGGTGGGAGGTGGGGCTGCCAGGATTAGAACTGGCTCCCATATGGGATCCTGGCGTGTTCAAGGCAAGGACTTTAGCTCTAGGCTACTGCTTTGGGCCCCTATGGGTGCGGATTCCAGTCCCAACAGCCCTGCTTCCCCTCCAGTTCCCTGCCTGTAGCCTGGGAAAGCAGTCAAGGACGGTCCAAAGCCTTGGGCCCTTGCACCTGTGTGGGTGACCCAGAATTAACTCCTGGCTGCTGACTTTGAATCAGCTCAGCTCTGGCCCTTGCGGCCACTTGGGAAGAAAATTCGTGGGTGGGAGACTTTCCTCTCTGTCTCTCCTCCTCTCAGTATGTCTGACTTTCCAATAAAAATAACTAGCTCTTGGAGCTGCATGCTGCCCTGGGGTAGGGGCTCCTGTGGCGGGCCTGCAAGACCCCCAGGTTGGAGGCTTTCCAACCTTGGTGCAGGTACAAACAGCCAAGCACACTGGCTTCCTTGGGGGAGGGAGCTCGGTGGGCCTCCAGAAGCACACCAACCTGGAAGTTAAGGTTTTTGGCCTGCATAGGTGGGACTTGGTGGAGGAAGCTTCCAGCAGCGTGGCAGCTGCTGGAGGTAACTGAGCCAAAACAGATGCAGTACTTGGGACCCTGGCCATGGCCACCGCTGCCATGTGGTGAGCGAGTCTGGGGCTTTGAGTGGCTAGCTTGTCAAATGGCTCTGACCACCATCCGCTGGCTGCAAGCTCAAGGGTCTTTGGGGTATGTAATTGCTGCCTGGGGACACCCATGGATAAGGCCACTGTGTGTGTAGGTGAGGAATAAATCCTGAGGGACTCCCAACGACGGGGTCACTGAACTTGCAGGTAAGTGAGGGGACTGAGACCTGGTGGTTTTGAAGGATGAGTCCATAAAATCTGTGTAGGTCAGACTGATTCACCAGCCCACATGGAAGTCCTGAGATGGGCTGTTAGCATGGATCATTGCTGACAGCCTCATGCCAGACTGGAGCGCAGGTCATGTCAGGCTAGGCTGTCATACCTGCTAGTTTGCATGAGCCTGGGATGGGATCAGACTGAGTAGGGTCAGGTTGCACCACCCACCAGTGAGAGTTGGGACGGGGGGCAGGCCGGGCTACAGCATCCAAAAGCAAAGCTCATGACAGGTGAGAAACTTTGCCGAGCTGTGTCAGAGCAACCAGTGGCACACACAAGATCTGTGGCTGGGAACAGGCCTGGTTGGGAGTTAAGGGGACACCCTGAGTTGTACATCCCACTGGTGAGCTTGAGCGCCAGATTTCAGGCTGTGGTCTGGTCTGGACATGGCTGCAGTGTCCCTTGGCATAAATGTGGACTGGGTCTGGGATTTGCCAGACTGGTGCTTGTGCAAACAAGGGTAGGTATAGGATGGGCTGGTCTAGGTCTCTGCCCCTGTGGAGCCATGTGTGAGCTGTGTCTGTGCGTGGACCAGGTTTAGCTGGGCTGTAGCACCCAATAGCAAGAACCAGAATGGGTGAAGGCCAGTCATGAAAGGCCACTGTTCCTGCTAGGACAGAAGGCAGACTAAGTAGGGCTGTCCCTGGAACCACTGATGGGTGTGAGATCTGGCACTGATAGAGGTTCTGATGGAGGAACTTGGGAACTCCTCTGTCAGGAACTAGTCCCCCTGCAGGTGAGTAAAAGAACCAAGACAAGGAGCAGCCCAGACCAGGCCAGGGAATGGTACCCACTGGCATACATTTGGTGCATGTTGGGGGTGAACCAGGCAGGGCCAGTTTACTTCACCTGCTGGCGAATCTAAGCACCAGAATGTAGTGTATATCAGGCTGGGTTTGGTCACAATATAACTAGTACACATGAGGGCTTGGATTGGGTGCCGGCTGGTCTGGCCTAGAGTGTAGCCCCCACCAACCTGAGCTGGAATTTGTAGTGGCCAAGCCAGGCCAGGCTGCGGCATCCACTGGCAAAAGCTGAGTAAAGGCAAGCCATGCCAGACCAGGCTGAGGCACCTGCGGGGAGGGGGCAAAGTTGGTAGTAGGGCAGCATGGATTCCTCTGCTGGATCACCACTGCCTCTGGAGAGTGTGAGTTGGGATGTGGGCAGACCTGACTGGCTATAACACCTGTTGGCCTCATGTGAGCTGAACCAGGGAAAATCCAGGCTAGGTTGACTGTTCCTGCTGGTGCAAGCATAAGTCAGAGGGGGTGAGGATTGGTTGAGCTTTGCTATAGCTTCAACAGGCAGATGCTGGCACAGGAAGCTAAATCTTTCTAGCCAAACTGCAGAACTTCCTGGATAGTGCAAGATCTGGGAGTGCAAGTTGGCCAGTAGGGAAACAGTGGGCACCTCTTTCCTGGTGATCATGAAAATCAGGACGGTGGCAGGCATGGCTAGACAGAGAGTGGCACCCATCGGCAGGTGCGTGGGCTGGATAGTGGGGCTGGTTGGGCTGCACTAGGCTTCAATACCCCTTGACATGTGTGGGAGCTGAATGGAATGTGGGACAGACTGGACCAGTCTGCTGTTCATATTGGCACGCATGGGAAGCAGGGCAGGGGTCAGACCTTGTGAGGCTTATTGGCAGTCACCCCAACAAGGCTGAAGTGCCCACTGGTTTACATTGCCAGCTGAGTGGTGGGCAGGATTATAATGGGCTCCAACACCATTTGGTTTGTGTTAGAAGATGGGGCTGGATGCAGAACTGACCCAGCAAATGCAACCACCAGCATATGCACAGGCTGATTTGGGTGACCCTGTTTGATGTTTCAGACCCTGTACTGGCAAGCACACACAAGAATCTCATCTGGGATCACCTCAGACGAAGCGTCTTTGGGATCCCCCCAAAAGAATTGCTGATCTTAGAACCCCAACCATGAAGAGAAGTGCAGGTTCCATGGTCTCACTGTGGAAATCATGTGTCAAAGCTGAGCCTCCTCAGTGGCTCAGATGGAGCACTGGACAGCATATCCAGGTGCACATGCAAGATATGGCAGTCCATTGGAACCTGTGTAGGACACCTGGTACCACAATAGAGGACAGAGGACTGAACAAATTAATCAACTACCCCAGCCATGTGTTGACAGTGAAAATGTCAGCAAACAGAGAGTCTAAGGTGGACTATGTTCAACCAGTGGATTCAGGAGAGATTTCATTGTGCCTGGAATGGCAAGATTGTCAGCAATTCAGAATAGTTGAACTATGAAAACCACTTGAGCATGCCGCACATTGGGGACCTTGGGATGGTTGGGAGGCTGGGTGTGACCTCTTCCTTTGTCTCTCATCTTCCCCCAGATACAGGAAGGAAAAAAGAGAATGTGGAAACAATGGTCTTACCCACTTTCTTGTAACCTTTGACCTTTCACCCCTAATCAACTGTGTTAAGATCATTAAAATAAAAAAGAATAATAATAAAAAATAGACCTTAAAAAAAAAAACAGAGAAGCAGAAACAGAGAGGTCTTCCCTCTGTTGGTTCACTTTCCAAATGGCTGCAGTAATCAGAGCTGAGTCAATTTAAAACAGGAACTAGGAGTTTCTTCTGGGTCTCCTAGACAAGTGAAGAGTCTCAAGGCCGTGAGCCACCCTCCGCTGTTTTCCCAGGTCATGAATAGGGAGCTGGATTGTAAGTGGAGCATTTGGGCACGAAATGATGCCTGTATGGGATGTTGGCATGTGCATGCAGAGGAGTAGCCTGCTGAGCATGGCATCAGACCCAGGAGGTTCTGTTGAGTCTCCCCTGTGGGTGAATGGGCCCAAGCACTTGAGCCATATTCTGCTCCTTTCCCTTGAATCCATGCCCATATGGAATGCTGATGCTGCAGCCTGAGGCTTAACTTGCTGTGTCATGGCGCCAGCCCCAACATTTTTTATTTCTTGTTTTTTCACATGCTCAGAGGCATCAGAGAAAGATGGTGTTCTTTAAGTTTTGCAGGGTTTCAAAAATAATACATTTTTCCTTCAGAAGCAGTATGCGATGCTGTACTCACTATCCTGATTGGGTCTTCCTTATCAACATTCTCGTGAGAATTATTCTTATCCGCCACCCCTCCACTCTTAACAGAGTCTTAGTGTTA